AACGAGATTTTGATTATAAGAAGAATGTGAGGATCAATATACCTATCAACTTTAAAGTAGGTCAAGATCTCATATTTGGGTCAGTGGCCTGCAACTGATCACGCTGATATTGTTCCAACTTAATCGCATGCATAGTAGTAATTTACCATATTCAAAATAGTAATATGTTTTGTCAAGTTTTTGATGTAGGATTGCATTTTTTGCAACATTCTCCCTCACGTCGAACCATGTCTTTAATGGGTCACACGTGTAACCAATTTCATATAGGTAACTTTTTTTGCAGAAGATTTGTCGTCAAGGTCAAGGTCTTGTTCACAATCAGAATGGTTGAGGTCATGGGAATACTCTCTGATACTATGTCAAGACCTCATAGTTGAGTCAGATGTCCACAACTAATCAAATCGATATAATCTCATTTCCAAAAGTAATCACACCAACACTATCTCAACTTAACCAAATGCAAAACCTAACAAATTTTAAATTTTATCATAAAATGCCTCGCTATTATTAATTTTGAAACCATTCATCTATAAGTAGTAATATATCATGTCACGTTTTTAATTGTAGAATTACATTATTCAACAAAAAATGTATAATTTACCTACTCCTATACTTATGCCGTTACTCATCAAACAATGTCAAATATATCATATATGGGTATGAAAGATGAAGATGGTAGATGTTTCTTTCTTGCACCTAAGCTATTAAATGGGGACATATATAAATTGTAGAACAGCCTCTTGCATGATTGCATCTTATCCAATCGACACAAACGAAACTAAATTATATTCATCATTTAATTCAAAAAGCAGAGAAATTTTTGGGGTGTCAGGAATACGATACGGTACACTAAATGTAATAATACAATTAATTGAAAACTTTAAAAAAAAAATTCCAATCAACAATCAATTGTATCATTACACTTAATGTACCGAAACGTGTACTCGGCACACTACAAAATCTCTCCAAAAAGCGTATACAAACACAACAACCACAACAACTTTATGGACGGCAAATTTGTTGAAATGCATTTAAGCAAGCTTTTATTTTGTCCATAAGAATTGAGATATCCAACTGCATCGATGTCGTGCCCTGCAACAACTCACACCTTATAATTTACAAATTTAATATATTATATTATCATTACGCATGAAATCCAAATCCAAACTCGAGCAGAAAGCTTATATTCAGTTTAATTGTAAATTTTCTATACATTTACGTACGTAGATATATATTTTTTCACACATGCATGCAGCTTGAGCATCATGAGAAGAAGATGGACGAACGTAAGCACAAAACATTTCAGCAGTTTTTTCATACAAGTTGAAGGGAACTTTCAATATATATTACGTACACATCTTTTTCCCATAACTGCAAATATATGCTAATAAGTCCACGAGCTCTCTCTCTCTAAGAATTACCACATCGCATATAAAATCTATTGATAAGCATGCATAAATTTGAATATATAAGCATTTATGTTTTCATATTGGTTGCAGTTGCACCACAAAATCTTATATTAAAAATTAATATAAGGCGTCAAAAAAGTTGGAAGGGAGGTAATATTGCTAATATTGAAACATATACTTACGGAATTAAAATGTGACACATATCTTGATTATCTTATTAAGTACACTAATTTGAAGAGAAATAACTTTTGCACATTTTTTCTTTCTTCATTTGCAATCTTGTTTATTTTTGGCATTTTTTTGGTTTTATTTTCGATTCAAAGACTAGAAATACACATATATTTGCATGAGAAAAAAAAACATGTGATATCATTTCCGGACCTATATAGAGCTCGTTTGGATGTGCTTTTAAAATTATTGAAAGCGCTTTTGGTGAAAATATTTTTTGAAACAATCCTTAATAAAAATTCTAGTAAATCCTTGAAAAGCACTTAAAGTGCTTATTGGAAGAAGCACATAACTAGTGCTTCTTGTAGAAAGCACTTAAAGTGCTTTTGGAACCCAAAAATATTTTATCTAAAAGCGCTTTCAGTCATTTTAAAAGCACATCCAAACGAACCAATATTTATGCAAACAATATCCAAAACCCAAATAAATCAAAGTTATAGAAATGTCATCATAATATCTTATAGTTTGTAAACATATATATACAATCCCTTCACTCACTATTGCATTTCTAGTTATAAAGATGGAAGCCCTGTGCCATGGAGGAGGCATTGTCCAAGCCCTAAACACTAGTGTACGGAAATGAAACTCAGACGTTGGTTCTTGCTCATGGGTTTCGTGCAGACCAGACAATTTGGCACTTCCTCATCCCATTTCTTGCATGCTACTTCAAGGTTGTGGTTTTTGACTGGGTTTAATCTCCAAATGTTGATCCCAAACTCTATGATCCCAAAACGTACTCGAACTTCAGTGCTTACGCAGAAGACCTGGTGTGCCTTCTTGATCATCTCAATGTTAAAAAAGGACTGTATATTTGGGTCACTCCATGACTGCCATGGTTGGATGCATCGCTTCTGTTCAAAGACCACAACTCTTCCAGCACCTTATCCTACTAAGTGGCTCTCCCAGGTCATCTCTCTCTCTCTCTCTCTCTCTCTCTCTCTCTCTCCACACATAAAAAGGATCAGTTACTAGTACGGATTCCGTTTTACTGTAGAAAAAATGATAGGAATAGGACCATGTATTCACCATATAGACCTCTTATATGTTTTATTGTTCCTCCTTTTTTGCTCCCGAGTACATTAAATTCACATCGTCCCATTTCTATTACAATGAAATGAAATCCCTGCTAAGAAGGGGCTCGCACATGTACACAATGATTGTAAACTACCGATGATTAAGTTTATTCTTACATGAATATAAATGCACAGTTCATATTCACAATTTCACAATCATAAGTATACAATAATGCAGTAAGTAGACAAAAAAAAAAACATTATACCATTACTTATACATATACGATCATCATTATTTTCTTGCCATTGTCTTTTGGACAGTTGAGTTCCTTTTGTACGCCGGACTGTACCAACCATGTACTAATCTCTCATAGTATATTGTCCCCGTCATATGTTATTCTAGTTACTTCAACATATATCTTTTTCCTTTTTTCAGTTAAATTCCTTGTATTAACCATATTATACACAAATAAGTCTCGCGTAATATGTGACTAGTAAACATGTTACAGGTAAACAATACCACATTGTGTCGACACCGGACACTTAGTTTTACGTTTATTTTGCTTTTAGGTACCTCAACACCACAGCATACACCGGAGGCTTCACCAGACCACAACTGGATGCGCTCTTCAACGAAATAGGGAACAACTTCACAAGTTGGGTTCCAAGTTTTGCCCCAACACCAATAGGTGTAAACGACACACGTGCGATCACCGAGTTCGAAAACAGTTTGGGAAGAATGAGCCCTAGGATTGCTGTAAGGGTAGCTAGAGTTGTGTTTCTGAGCGACCTCAGAAGAATTCTGCCACAAATTATTGTTCCTAGTAGCATAATCCAGTCCAGAAAAGATTTTATCGTTCCGAAATCGGTTGCATTTTACATGAAGAAGAAGCTTGGTGGTCCTGCAAAAGTCAAGATCATAAACACAGAAGGCCATTTTCCTCAGTTGACAGCTTACCTTCTGCTCTTAAAAGTTCTCAAAAAACTTGTTCACATCAAATAGATATGCATATATATTATGTATTTGGTTAAAAGCTTTGGCACTGCCTTAAAGCAAATTATTTTTTGGTTTTATGCGGGAGTACATTTTTTGTTGTAATTTGTTGCTTCACTAGAAATATACCATATTGTTTTTCTCTTTTACTACTGAAGTTGTAGGATAATGTTATTCATATACTCATTTTTACCTCTCACATACCTTTATTAATTTTGGTCATTGATCTTCTTCAATCCATTTGATGCGACGGTTGTAAATTAAAAGGAATGTGTGAGAAGTAAAAATGAGTGTGTAGATTGTAAATAGCCCATAAATCATAAAACCTAGTGCTAAAACATTGTTCATGCAGTGGAATAATGATTTTGCCCCCGATTTACTTTTCTTTTTTTCCTTTTTTTTTCAGCTCGCACAGTAAAATAACGGATTTGCCTATGTGGAACACGTGTGGTCATATGGTATAGCTAAAATAGGAGAAGATTGTGGTCCCATGTAGGTATACATATCATCACCACTACCAAATAATTCCTACTAATTATTTCCCTAACATGTAAGGAGGAGGAATTCAAACTCTAGTGCAAAAAGAGAAGAAGTACACTGCCCTGATCGATTAGCCCAACCCGTATCTGCCAAACCTACTTTTGATGAGTGAAGATACACAAAGCTACTTCGACTTTATTCTCTCAAGAATTAAGGGCTCATTTGGAACCGCTTTTAATGACTGAAGCATTTTTGCATAAATTGTTTTTGAATTCTAAAAGTACTAGAAGTGCTTCTTGTAAGCTGCAAGCAGCACTTTTGCATAAATTATTTTCACCAAAAGCGATTTCAGTCATTTTAAAAGCACATCCAAACGAGCTCATGTGCTTCTTGTAGGAAGCACTCAAGTGCTTCACTTGCATTTTAGTGAAAATGGCTTAGGGATCAAGCGCTTCACTTGCATTTTTACTATGAATTGACCCCCAAGACATTTTCACTAAAAGCACTTTCAGCCATTTTAAAGACACCTTCCAAACGAGACTTAAAACTCTCTATTATCCATTATTTTAGAAAAATTCCTCTCCGTTATTATAAAATAGCACTTCTACAGTCTACTTGTAAGCGTTTGCGAGAAACAGTTCTTACAAATTGCTACTGGATATTAGTTTCCGTGAACTTTCGAAAACCTCATCAGTTTTGTGAAAGATTCAACAAGGGAAATTTATTGCCTATTTAGTTTTCTCATTGAACCAAGGTTTTGAAAAAGATATGCATTTTATTATTAGAGTTACATCATCAACTTAGCAATTATCAATACAACAATAACAACAAAACCTTCTCTCACTAAATGAGTCAGTTATATGAAATCTCGAAAACTACTTAACCGAAGAATTCTATTAGTATTAACTTGGTAGTTAGCATTGCAAAAGATAATTGTCGGATATTGAATCTTCTCACCAAAAACAAAGGGGTGAAAACAAAAACACGGAAAAATTCACTAGAAAACTACTCAACCGAAGAATTCTATTAACTTGCAATTCTCGAAGGGTTACAATTGAGATCAAAACTCCGCCGCCCGTAGAAAAAATGATAAGTTTCAGTTTCAACAAAAAAAAAAAGAGCGCCAATATCTTTCCGACGGAAATCTTACGTAGTTGTCAGTTATTTCTTACAACCTTGGGACAATTGGTCTTCAAATTTCTAAATGCTTCATCCATGGTAGCCTTCTACATCCTGCCATGTAGCCTCCTCATTGAGCTGAAACGACATTGCAACAATGACGATAAATTGGCCATCCCCCATCTCTCGTATAAGCGGCCAACAGCAAATTTGGTTGACAATCTGAAGATTATGAACCAGGAAACTTTGTTCCTTCGTAGTAAGAGGAACAATTGATATCAAGCTACTGTATTCTCCACATACTCCATTGCCTTCCGTTTCACATACTCGATCTTTTCTTCATCGCCGCGTGACTTCTCGTACGCCAGATACTTTTTAAATAAGAACTGCAAATCCAGAAATGAAGCACCCGTATAAGCTCTAACAGGAGACAAAGGCAAAACATTCTCAGTTAAAGGGGCATATAATTGTACACACCTTCATCTTTTTTGCTGGGAGACTCAAACTAGTTGCCCTCTCAAATAGTGCATGAATCAGATCGCTATTTCCAAGTCGAATTTCCTGCCACAGTGGTACAAAAGAGCGTAAATTACTGCCTTGAATTTGACACAACAAATGAAATACTGAAATGCTAGAAAACGGGCATTTACTTGATCAAGGTAGACGCTCCACAAGTCTGTTCTCTTAGGGTTATTCCGCAAAATATTCTCAAACATGGATCGTCCTCTCTCGGGTTCTCCACATTTAAACTCAAGGATAGCTGTCTGGGAATTGAATTTGATAAGCTTATGCTTAGGAAGGACTTTCTCAGCACGACTGAGAACATCCTGAATCCCATCCTGCTGTCGCGTTAAGAGCAGCTTTACCCGCCTTAGCCAAACCTACAAGTCCATTCAGAATCAATATACTGTTTATACATCAAAAGAGCCTTCGAACCTTTACACACACGCGTATACCCAGATAGGAGAACAAAAATGTAGGAAATCACTACCTTGCAGGAAGTCTTGAACTTCTTTGTCATTTTATCAAGTAGCTCATCAGCCAACCTGTGTTGCTCAGTCCTTTCATACAGTCCTAAAAGTGCTAAATGAACCGTTTTGGAATCATTACACTGTACTGCTCTTTGAAAGACTTTCTTTACAGCTTCCTGAAGAAGAAAAAAAAAGCAGGTTAAAGGGCTTCATGTCCACATAAGAAAAACGAGGATTGCTTTTACTATTTTATTACCTCTGGAGGACTTGCGTATTTGTTTTCCAAATTGAAATAAGCCACCCAAACATTGAGCTTCTCCTTCTCAGTCTCTTTGTCCAACTTTATTGTTGCCAGAGCCCTTCACAGAGAAAAGAGAATCATTCAAGCTTAATTATGTAAACACGGATTATTATAAGCAGCACACATATATACACGCAGAGTGTCGCAGACACACACATTAAAGAACTAAGAGCAAAAGTTATAAGCACCAAATATACCAGGAGCTTTTGGTTCAGTTATAAGCAATGTATTAAAAGCGTGAGGCGTGGGCGAGGCGTCCGAGGGATAGCCCAGCCTAGGCATGAGGCATGAGGCAAAGCCTCACGGGACCTAAATTTTTTAATATATACACTGAGCATACACATATATTATATTTTAAAAATATAAAAATATAAAAAAAGATTATTAATCAATAATCACCCTAAGCGCACACATAAATATATATACACACATATATTATATTATATATATATATATATATATTAAATAGAGGATGAAAAGCACAATGAGCACACATAACAACGCACGCAGACAGCACACACATCCATTATATAAAATAAAAAAAATCAGAAAAAAAAAGGCAGAGAGACGATAGTGCAAGGAAGGGGTATGAGGCAGTTAAAACCCTAGCCAAATTTTGGGTTTGGGAGTAAAATATAAAAAATATAAAAATAAAAAAAAGCAGCCAAACAGAGATGCCTGGACGCCTTCCGCCCACTCCCTCAAAACAGAGGCGGCAACCCTCACGCCCAGCCTCAGAGGCTGCCTAGGCGCTCCTAGAGGCGAGCATTTTAAAACATTGTGCCTACAATAGTTCGTTCAAACAAGTTTAGCATCTATGACAATCTTATTTTACATAACTTCTTTTAAGCATACCAGAAACCTCTTGTTCCGTACCCGAAACACAGGTTTTCAAACCCTATAGCAAACTACATAACTAGATTAATTAACCAAATATCAGGTCAAGGAGCCTGCAATATTTATATGATTATTCCAGAAGCATGACCGTCCCATTTGCATATAAGCAATGCGTGTTTTTTGCTAAAGAGTACCTTTCAGCAATTGAGCGTGCCTTCTCAACATTAGATGCAGAGAGCACAAATTCCATATATTTTATCCAGACAAAACTGCTATTTGGAGAAGTTCTAACTAGTTTCTCATATTCCTCATCGGTTCTGGGTATATCATTTGCCAATAGTCTTTCCTCGGCAGACCTTATTTCGCGCTCCCTGAAAAAAATTGTTTCCAATTAGAACCAGAAGGGTAAGTGAGGAGTGTGTTGACAGCCTTAGAAAATAAGGAAAAGGGAAACACACAAATAAAAACCCAACCTCTCTTCCTTAGCTTTTTTCTTTGTCGGCTGCATTTTCTTTTCGTTGACAGTGTCTACATCAAGATGCTCTTTATCTTCACCGTCGAATTGGTCTATGTCATCAAGAGTGACGTCAAGCGGAGGAACAAAAGCTCTAGATTCTGCTTGTGCAAGAAACTGGGATTCTGCATTTTTACTATCGACGTCCATGTCCTGGGTAAAAAATGAATTGCTTTCGGGACATATGTCTGACATAGTAACATCCGTAAGAACATTCTCCACAATGGTTTCATCAGGATCTTGTTCTGAAGGCGTCTCAAGGTCATCATTGTCCATAATATAAACATCCTTCATCCCGAGAGAAACTCGGTGCCTTTCCTTGTCCACCTGATCAAAGAAGTTGAATAATTAACACTACAGTTGTCATGAATGCATAACACAGCCATAACATTATAGTTATTGAAATGTGTAAACAGAACAATTATTTATGACAACACACTTTTCTTCTGGGGAGCAAAACAATTTTTTATTTAAGGTAATGTGTAAACAGAAACACTGAACCAAAAACACAATGTGAAATTACCTCAGATAGAGGTAAAAGTATTTTCATATAAATGTTCTCAAAAGTTCAGTGTTATGCAGTTAATAAGATAAAAAAACAACTGTCCAAGAGTAGGAATTTTCACAACCATAATAGATAAACAATACCTTCAATACTTTTGCTGTCACCCTCTCTCCTGTTTTGTATTTAGTTTCAATATTGTCAAGTTTATCTTCTGAAAGCTCCGACACATGGCATAGTCCAACCTAAGCACAAAAGAAAAAAAACATGAAATCCTTTCAATGAAAAGAGGTACATGAATTATAAATGCATTCCCACATGTATAACAAAAGAGAGGAATTTATTACAAAGAACTTTGCTTTCTATTTTTAAATTTGCCAGTGTACACTGCTCATCAAAGGATGCTTAAACAGAAAATGGAATGATATCAAAATTCATATATGTAGTCATCGAGGAAAAACATTGGGTAAATGTTGCCAAACATAGAGACATATAAATAGATATAAAAAGTGAACTTTGCTTGATGTGACTCATCCATTACCAAGTTTGTGTTGTCAATCGTGATGAATAAACCATATGACTCCATCCTTTTTACCCTGCCAGAGATTATATCTCCAACACGCAAGCTATCCAAATTATCACTTCCAAATTGTGGCACACTGCTTGTGTTCAATGTCTTCAAGGTGACTTCAACTCGCTTTGATAATGGCTCCACAGATGAAACCCTGCACCATAGCTTCTTAGTAACCAGTGCACCACTGCATTGAATTCTACCAATAAGTGTTACTCTTTTTCAACATGGGAAAAAAAAAATTACTTGCCTGCCAGTTACAAGTTTTCCAACTGGGAATTCCTTTTCGAGATCTTGAACATATCCATCAGATAAATTGGAGACGAGAATTTTCGCATCAAGCTTCCGCGAAAGTAAAATAAAACACCCCTTTGGTATTACATTTTTAACATAACCCTATCATTCAAGAATAATCATGAGCCACATAAGACACTACGATATCCTAATTAAATCAGAGTACATAAAATAAAAATAAAAAACTTGCAAGTAAAGCTTTGAAAGAGAGAAAATCTTGAACACCTGAACCACCATGTTAGGATTAAGATCTTCGATCGTTTCCACACGTTTGGTTTGAGAATGCCTGAACAGAAAAAATATTACTGTTCAGTAGCAAAACAAAGCAAGAGCCAAAGCAAGCAACAAACAGTGAAAACCGAAGAAAGCCAATCTTAATTGCAAAATTTTTAACAGTGACAATGCAAAAGTAAAAGTATGTTAAGCATATCAAAGTAAAATGTTATTCACATTCCCAGTTTGTCATTCTGAACTCATCTGTGTATGTGTTGAAATAATTAAATATAGATTTTGTAGTGCAAGATGACAAACTAGAAGTGTGAACAGCAGCTGTCAAACAAAAACTAATAGAACATGTCGCGATTTTGTAGTACATGATAACTCATCGTGACTGAAATAATTTCCAAGATGCTTCAAAGAACGCCATCAGTGTGGCACATGTAAACTCACACTGTACCCTATTCATTATGTGCATTACATTGTTTACACGCATATCCTTCATCAAGAGAACGTACAGCAATAAAATTCTAGACTGCAAGCATACGAGAACATAAGGTTAAAAATAAGTATTTTGGACAATTCATGCTCCTGAGATGAATTAAATATGCAACTTATTAACACAATGAGCAACAACAGTTTTAATAAAAGTCCATTGCTTCTATGTTACTTTGGCGATGAAGGCCATGACTTACGTGTCATCCTGGGGTTCCACAAAATCTGGACGGAGCCCGCCAACTAAAGAAGCGCGCAAAGACAAATCAATGTGGAAAGTTCCCTTCACAGAGCGGATAAGTTCAAGGACCTTGCATTTGACAAATTGCCCTTCATGATATCCAGACAATGGGTCAGACTCCCATGAGTCGTAAAGTTCAGTATAATGGACCCTGCCATAAAGATGGGGTCCAATTTGCACAGTCATTCCACTAACACCTGGAAGTTTTTTAATTATTCTCCCACCTATAACACGTCCCTCGCGAATATGAGCAGTAACATTCTCATTCATAATGTTAATGTGTGAATCATCCATCTTTGGAACCCCATGATCAACAGTTTTATCAGAGATGGGAGAAAAAGGATGCAGAACCAGGCGCAATAGCTTTTTCTCCCTGTTAACACTTAAGACATAACCAGATACAGCATTTCCCAGGTGAAAGCGTTTCTGAAATTCTTTAAGTTCACTAGGCTCACAAGCACTGTCGAGAATAAAAAGCTGAGCCCTAACACTTCGAGATATTGTCAACCAGACCCATTCACCATCCACTTTATAAACATAACCAGAGACACATTGCCCGGTTGAGAAATCAAGATCTTCAGTTATAATCTTTTCCCCTATTTCACAGGAACCTGAAATGAAATTGCAAATTCAAAATAAGACAAATAACGATTGAGGAAGAAGTAGGTAAGATAAATGAAACAAGACTTAGCCAGAACACCATTAATTAAATAATTAAGAGTAGTCAAGCAATCTGAATGGACATAGAATTTCCAGAAGATAAAATGTCATGACCTAGAAGCTTCAACCAGATAAAAAGAACAAACCTATATAAAAATTTTAACCATTTCTTTTCAATTGATTGAATCTAACAAGTTTTGACATCACAGTTGCATTATGCTATCAAGTAATATCCATGAGATGATGACTACTAAACTTCAGCACAGCCAATTATGCTCATGGTGCTGTACATCACATAATGAAGGTATCCCAGGAATAAGTACAGCTAGAGCAGCTGAATATAATTGACAGTATCATAGAAGCTGAGGAAATTCCTCAAAACAAGAGTTGCTTAGGCTATGACCCAAGATTTTATACTCCACATTTAAGATACACATTTTCTTGTTTACTAAGAAGAGAATATAAACGTCCGTTAAAGAGGATGCTTGGAGTAGCATTGGTAAATTTAACAAACAATCAGATAGTGCAAGAAATCACAATCTAAAGAAACAGACCAGTGTCACAAAAAATTATTAGATGCAAGTTACCCGTTAGCATTGTAGATTTCAAGGAAAGATCCCACTGGTAGCTCTTTTTGTTGTTATCTGAATAATTAGTCTTGGCAACGATCTTTGCAGCCACTGTTTGCCCAATTCTGAAGTTATTAAATGGGTCTTCCAGAAACTCATCATTTAGCTGCACAAATGCGGATCAGGGAAGTAGTTGTATCAGACAACAATTAGGAACACTGAAATAACATGCATATGATGGGTGAATGCATACAAAATTACAAATTAAAATTAAAAAGGCTTAAATCAAAGAATTCATAAGATGTACCTCTGTAATGTGAACCCGCCCATGCAAGCCAATTCCAAATTTCAATCTTAGTTCAAGAGGCTTTATTTCTGTAATCTGGATGGTGACAGCAGGTGATGAGAGCAATAAATGAGTACACAATAGTCAAAAAGATATTGTGTGTTTATTTATAAATATGTAACAAATAAAAAAAACACCAGAGCTCATGATAACTCAATACAATTGAAGAACAGCAGCAAGTTGTAAACAAAATCATCAGAAACGGATATTACCTCTGCCTCAACCATAGATCCCACTTTATAGCTGGACTTCTTCTTTGCCCGTTTTGAACTGGATGTCTCGGACTCACTTATAGATTTAAGTAGTAAAAGCAACCTACCTGTTGTTGTAGGGCTTGGAAGAGCCATAACAGTGGCATCAACACTGCATTAAGAGAAACTATTATACATATTGCTGGCCTATTTCTTTAAGACAACAAGACCACAATCTTTCAAAGCCGTATGCGACAACAAACAGATTGAATATAGAACCGGAAAAAAAAAATGTCAGATAATCAAGACCATGATCACCTTTGTCCATTCAAAAACTGTTTCTGAGGAACTTTTTGAGTATTGTAGTCGGAGATTGATGCATATCCTACAGCATAATTATACTTGGGGATTGAAAGAACCTGTGATAAAGAATATAAAAATCATATAAATAAGAGGTTGAGAACATGTGTGCCAATCAAAATATAAGGTACAACTTATATTAACTACAAAACTTACCAGGTAATTCTCTTTCACAATCTCAACAATTGCATTTACTGTCTGATGTACCTCCAGGTCATCCAATGCTTCACTTTTTCGTTTCTGAAATCAATATTTAAAAAAAGTAGAGCATAACAAGAAAGCTAGAAGTTACAACAACGTAAAACGCAACAGAGAATGATGAAAATCTTCACTAGTGAGAAATAAGTTTTTTAAGAAAGACTACTCTCAGATTCACTACTAAGTCGCACATCAAAATAGAAAATTCAAAGATATACAAGGAATGCATTTAACCTTCTTATGACTTTTCTTGTCAGAACTTTCTTTGAATTTATTAGTGAACTCTTGTTTCATCGATAAATCAACAAGGTGCTCCGCCTTGGCAACGTCAAGTACAACTGCATGAACGCTGGAGCCTGTTTCTACAACGGTCCCACCTACTGCAGAGATTACAATGGAAAAAAAAAAGGAATTTTATTACTGTCTGAAAGAAATTAAGAAAACAAATAATTGACCAAACCATCAGTGAAATAACTTACATTGGTAGTGTGTGATGAAACCAAAGACGTCATTATATTTCTCAAAGTTGACAACAACTCCAACATCCTTTACCTCCTGTACTTTACCCTCAACAACACTGCCAATTGTAAATCCTTCTGACCAATTTGACTTGGATTCTTTTGAGTTTAACAGTTGCAGCGTAGCAATCTGCACCAAAAGGAGCACTTTCAAGGGTTAGAACTATAATAAAACAATATAGACAGAAAATCTTAATAGAGCACTCTGCAATGTAATTTAACAATTACGTACTATGGAATACATATAAAACAACATATAAAAATTAACATAGGAATATAATCAATTAAAGAAGATAACTCGAGAACAAACAGCAATTAAACCAACTCAAGACAACTCAATTTAGAACGGTGCCGATGTTCATTACCTTCTCCTCCAACATAAAGTACTCCTGAATAAAGGACACATCTGTTGAAGAGCAAGATGACTGCTTCAACGACAGTGTTATTCGACCTGATTCGCTACTGACCTGGGGAGGAAATAAGTAGTTAAAGGATCTGATTGCCACTTACTAGTCTCATAGCAAATATAAATTTAAAAAATTTGTCTTAAACAGTTCACCAACATTTAGTATATTACTGCGAACAGATTGTCCAATGAAATAGGTTTCTGAAAGATCAACTTTAGGGTCATCCATTGCCTACAAAATGAAGAGAAAAAAAATTATTGGATTCAGATGTAACAGAGGTAGAGGGGGAAGAATATGGAAAACTTGAAGGGGAAGAAATGAACCTTATGCCTGGGGGAGAAACCAGTCAAACGCCCAAGAAAGCGAACAAAACACCCAGTTTCAATTAAGTTACAAATGTAGCCCTAGTTCAATCAAACAGCAAAAATTGTCACTTGTAAGTACTAAGCAATCATTTTAACTAATAAACAACCATATATAACTTGAATAAAGTGTTCCCACAAAAGAATAGCATTCCATACACATCGAAAACTTCAGGGTGCTTACATGTACTAGCGAGTTAGGATGAACTTGACTGAGTTCTGAGGGAAGCTGCTGAAGTGAATTAATCAAAGAATATTTTGCAGAAAGGATCAAATTGTTCCCTTCAATGTCTACATCAATCCAAGACAAAATTTCAAGATTAAAAGTTATCAAAGATGATACAGATTTCATCCAACTGTAAGAAATTTAAAATTGCATTGAGAATACCAAATTGAAATAGCCAAAGAGAAAATTGTCAAAACCAATAAGAGACCGCAGAATAATAAATGAATACAATTTTAAATTAGACACTCCAAGATCAGATATGTAAGAAAGAAAAGAACTATAGGAAAAGATATGATGCTGGAGATAAAGGATCCCCAATCAATTGGAACATGAAAAAGGTTACGAACTAATTAATAATACAAAAAAAAGATTTCATACAGAGAACAAATGCGTCAAACATAAAAACTTCTAAGAAAATTCGACCTCTATTTAACATTTCCCATAGATTCTTCCATTAAATCCAATATGTCCTTTTTAAGTCCACATGGATCCACCCTTTTCACTGTTCTCTTACTATTGTTTTGTTTGTCCATGAAATATTTTAGGGAAAGGTAAAAGAACAAATTTCAAAATACTTTCTCTAATTGTCGGTTTAATAAGTAAAAAAATAAAAACAAAGAGAGAGAGAGAGAGAGAGAGAGAGAGAGAGAGATCAATAGTCAATAGGGGTGATGAAGTTCTCATACCTAGCACCAGCAATTGATCAAATTCATATCCAGGCTTCAAAACTGACCTCATCAAAGCAGCAAGCCCTGCATAGCAAGAGATAGAATGAGAGCACCAAACAAGAGACCAAAATAATCAACATCAATGCAAATAAATATATACCGTGGTGATCTGACAAGTGATCAGTAAAAATTGTTCCCATCGAGTAACCTTTTCCATTAACATAAACAGCACTGGGGGTTACTCGATCAACAACTCCAGAAACAAGGCAACCCAACTTGGCTACATCATCCTCAGAAACCCTGTCAATTCAAATCCAATCATATCAGCAGAACAAATATTCAGGCTTGTCTTCTTCTTCCTTGGTAATTGAAACTCAAACTTAATGCCCTGGTATTAAAAATTTGAAAACATAACCCACTATATAAATCTAAATCATTAAAGCCATCAGGGATCTAACTACAGCATACAGCTTAATGGAAATACTTTTAACATTTCAGAGGCATGGATACATTGAAGCATTTTAGTTTTTAACATTTTTCTGAAAATGGACAATACATTAGGGCATTTGTGTTCACTCCCAAAAGTAAAACCAAGCAAAAGTCACAAATAAGTGCATAAAGTTGAAAAATAAAGTCATAGCATAAGGAAACAAACCTTGCAGGCCTTATTACGAAGCTAAGTTTGATCCGCCTTGATGTAGGATTGGAATTGATAACTCTACATTTGACAACTTGCCCAACATGATACATTGAACTTGGGTCAGATCCTGGTTCCAATCCGAGTTCAGATCTGGTTTCAAATAAGAACAAGTAATCAATAACAAACAAATGTGAGTACAATTAAAAATAAAAATAAAAACAAAACATACCACACAAACAAAAACCAAATAGTTAATGTTCTGCATAAATAAACAGACAATTTTAATGAATTGGTGTATTTAACAATGTGTCACTTCCAAGACTTCTAAGAACATTAATTGAATAAATAGAAACGGAGAATAAAGATATGCATACTGCACCTTACTTTGACATCTTCGTGTCAAATAAATGATATCTTACTTCCAATCAATAGCCAAGAGGAAAATCCCCTTACTTTGGCTATGTCCATATTTAAACTGAAGGAAAAACTTACAACAATTGGAAGACATTCATTTAGAATGTTCATATATGAACTAGAAACCTTTCCATAGATTGTATATATGCAATACATTCATCTCCATTGTCAAACAAATATGAGTAATTCTGATCACTGATCATACAGTCTCTTCTGTAGACTAAAGATACAAGAAATACAACTTTCTTTTACTTAGCCTTTCCCTGTATTAAGGTGCATATGCCTTCAGGTACAGTTTAAATGCTCAATTAAATCATGTCGAGCAAGTGCCTGAACTTCAACACCAAAGAAAAATACTAGCCTTCCATTGGTTGAGCCTTAAATTTAAGCTGGTCTTAGCAACGAGTACATTGCCAACAAACATATACAACGAAACATCTATGCTGAGGAAATGAATCATCTATAGTAAGAAATCCACCAACAAGACGGGAAAACAACACATGCAAGTAAGATTAACACTGCAAAATTAAGAAGACGTATTCCATATACCAAAATATAGAGTATAGAATAACATTCATTATGATCATCATTCAAGTAAAGAGATTATTTAGATTGCAAGCTAAGTGGTCACTGGTCAGGGCCTTACCTTGGAGCAAATCCTTGGACTCCATTGTAAAAATGGACAAAGCATCCATGTTCTTCAATCTTTCTTATCCACCCATGGGTGATTAATCCGTCAGCAGCCTCAGCATATGAACTAACAATCCCATGTTTCGATTTCACCTGTAAATCAGCCAGATGAATACTATTTGTAGAAGATTGAAAGATAATATGCCAACCAAAGGAAAATTATAGAACAATCAAAACTTAAAACAAAAATATTACATACAAGTGTTTTCTTGTGTGTAACAGTTATTCTCTTGGACTTGCAACCAAGCACACGGAACAGAAGTTCAGCTCCAATCTGCAGAGTGACATGGGAAATGGAATGAAAAGATTCAAAATTAAATTCCAGACGACGATTATCACTATAATATCATTGACGTGTAAAAATAGAATCCATAGGAGAGTCCAGTGAACATATATCATGGCCGAAAAGAGTACACGTATAAGATACCTTAAATTTTTTTCCAGGCTTTGCAATTTCAAATTCAGACATATGAGTAAGAGGGCAAAGTGCCTTCACACCACCAGAAAATTGCACGATAGCACCAAAGCTGTCCACAGCTATGATTTTACCTCTCACCACCATCCCAGGCTTGACATCAGAATGAGTAAAGACTGTCCCTTCCATAGCGCTGGCCTGCTTCACAGAAATCCAATTAGACATACTTGTAAATCAGTAAGGGCAACACCTAAACATGGAATAACCAGCATCGTCTTAATGGGAGAGAGTAAATCCTGAATTTTTCTAGACGGTGAAACATAAGTTCCAAGGAAGGTATAAATCAAGCTAGGGTATGAAATGATACAGAAAGAGAGCTATCTGCATATGTTCAGTTAGAAAAAGGCCCGATTTGGTTGCTTCAGAAGACACAAGGATATCCACAATATATAGCTCAAAAAAATTTGCACAACACAGAACACAAAGAACCTTAACATAACAATAAAAGGCTCCATCAGTGAACAAGAACAGGAACAGGGTTACCACCACCAGTGACATTTACAATTAAAATACAGAAAAAATTTCTAGCATCTAAGAAAATATTTATTAACTGTGGAAATGGAAGAATACAATTTCTAGTTTTGTGGAGGTGCAAACAAAATGAGGTAAACTAGATAACTGGTTCATCAAATCTGACTCAAACAAACAAGATGAGGCTCTAACTCAACCTAATATTCCAACCAAATCAGAAATATTCTAATTGCAACACTACTTGGTAAATACAAGATACTGAAAATAAGAAATTACTCAGTTCAGTTGTTCTTTCCTGAATAATCCACTTTTATATGTTAAACTTGAAGAGAAGTTGGCACATAAGAAACTAGCTGACAATTATATTAACCACTTGTCCCTGGGATCCTAAGCATTGCACAAGGCTGTAGAGATTGTTCCTATTTGGTCTATCAATCCAAAAAGTCATCCTTGGATCGATGGTGGACAACTCAAATATGTTTATCAAGATAAGTTTATTTGAAAGTGAGATGACACCGTCCTCTCATGCAGATCCGTCTTTAGTTGCCCATACAACTCGAGATCAATCTTCAGATTGGGCTAATATCATCATATGGCTAAATGAGTTCTAGATTCAACATTTTATGGAATAGCATACCAAAGTTTGCAAAACATGTTTTTGATACATGTTAGATGCCACTTAGGCTCAGGCTTCTTCAGCACAATAGCCTAAACTTCAAAGTTCATGTCAAAGTCGTTTAGTAAATGATCATTCCAAGAGAGGGTAATATGGGCATTTAGGCAAAAGCTTTGCAGCTCCCTTTCTACAGTACACTACGCCACAAGGTGTAATATCAAACAAGTGTATGTCACCAGAAGCAAGGTTGAACATATAAACATCACCTTCAAAGTCCCTGTCGCAAGCCCTTCCAGGTGTCTAAAACCAAGAATTCTGACACGAACACGACTACCTAGCTTGAACTTTTTTTCAAGCTTTCGAGCATCCTCTTCAGCCACATCAGATATCTATAATTAAGACAATAAATAAAAAAAAAGATTCATCATCTATATGATAACAAATATGTAAGCAAAAGTAGCCTCACAATTAAAGCCACAGAATGAACGTACACTAACGTATGCCGGAGTTGAAACCGGGGTAGATGGTATTTCAAGCAGAAGGCCCAATCCTTTGTCGACCCTAACCACTTTTGAGTCATCACATATGTCTCCGATTTTAACAAGCTACACATTAAAGCAAATGATGTTAGTCTCAAGAAGGGTGGTTGTTGTTCTCTTTCCCAATGGCCTTCTGGACTAGTTTTTGACAAAAAAGCCTCCACAAGCAGTTATAAGATGGGCACAATAGTGGCAGAGAAAAAAGAGAGAGCATGGGAGAGGAGGTGAAGAGAATAAAAGGAGAATGTCTGAATATTCTAAACACTTGTTAAATTTAATCTTCTTATTCTCTCAACACTGTGTGTACCAAAGAAAAAAAAAACTATGGATGTTTTCCAGGAAAAAATTCCATGCAGTGGTGATACTTCTCTGTTTTGATTGCAGTCCACAATGTTGATAGTTGCTCAACAAAAGCTCCATAGATTGAAGGAAAAAAATTAATAGTAAATTAGAAGAACATAATCCAATTGATTCTTAGTTGAGAAATTGCCTTGGTGTCCTCCCATTGCATTGCAAAGTAAGAAGGGTGTTTTCCTAAAGTATTTGAGTTTGAAGTATTTTTCTCTAGACGTAATCTCATCAAGGGCATAAATGTGAAAAGCCCAAAGTTTAAATTCATATGGGATGACCAAAGATATCTCCATGGCTATTTTTAAACGAAAAACAAAGCATAATAACAGTTGTTCTATAACAATCCTAATTTTGATAATGAACAACGACTGGAGCATCAATTTATGGAAGAAACAAATCATTCTACAAACAGACTAAAAGGGACCCCAGCTGAGCATCTGCTTGCAACAACACAAGTGAAACCCTAAACATGTGCCCACATATGGTAATATGGACCAGGAATGACTCATCAATCCTAAATTTAAGTATACAGAGTCAAATCTTGCTCACAAATAGGTTATAGGACTACAGACTACAGCTGCACAACACACAATAATACAAAATTAAAAAGGAAAGATAAAACTTCTGAGTCCAAAATTTTATCTCAGAGCATAAAGTGCAAGACATTAGAGATTTATGAATGCAAAATAACTTACTGAAGGAGGAGCCTTGTTACGGACAAGATGTGGATTCAGTGTCAAACCAACAGCTCTAGTTGAAGGATCAATAAACAATATTCGAGCATTAACCTAAAACAAAATAGTATAAACACATTTACAAATAATTAGAAACACGCAACTCAAAGGAAATGAAGTAACAAACGAGACCCCAGAGTACTCAATCAAACCAAAATTAATTGGATAAGAGGAGTCGTTAAATAACTTACTAAAAACCACTAGATCAACAATATTTAGAACATTATGCGTGCAAAAAAAATAACCATAAGATGTAAAATCATCACACAGTACTCAGATCTACATCCTTTTTTATAAAACTTAATCAAGGAGGAAAAAATTAGACGGATGACTTACAGAAATATTGTAACATAGAGATGAAAGAAATAATACAAGGAGAGGACACACAGTTGACTAGAGGGCTAACACACTAATCCAACAAGATCATGATCTAGAACTTGCAACAGACATGAACATTGTGATATTTCCTTTTTGCGGTTTTAATGTTGTACTATAGCCAAACCAGATAAGACCAATGAAAAACAGAAGGCAGCTTCGTTTTTTGGGCGAACCGAAATCAAGCACCATGCTAAGGAGTTGTCACAGACCATGCATCAGATGTAAATAAATAAATAAATATACATATGCTGTCCACTGTTAATACACATACAAATTATATTCATGTTTCCATTTGCCATTACACCATTGGCGGCACTAAGTAAGAATTATTCAGATGAATTGACTGTGCATTTTAACACTTGCCTTCTTGTGTTGATTGTACTCCTCCTTCCAGTTTATGGTAGGGCAACTATTTTGCAGATGGAATAAATCAACCTGCAAATTTGAAATGAAGAAATATATATATAAACAACAACAACAACAACAAAGCCTTTTCCCACTAAGTGGGGTCGGCTATATGAATCCTAGAACGCCATTGCGCTCGGTTTTGTGTCATGCCCTCCGTTAGATCCAAGTACTCTAAGTCTTTTCTTAGAGTCTCTTCCAAAGTTTTCCTAGGTCTTCCTCTACCCCTTCGGCCCTGAACCTCTGTCCCGTAGTCACATCTTCGAACCGGAGCGTCAGTCGGCCTTCTTTGCACATGTCCAAATCACCAGAGCCGATTTTCTCTCATCTTTCCTACAATTTCGGCTACTCCTACTTTACCTCGGATATCCTCATTCCCAATCTTATCCTTTCTCGTGTGCCCACACATCCCACGAAGCATCCTCATCTCCGCTACACCCATTTTGTGTACGTGTTGATGCTTCACCTCCCAACATTCTCTGCCATACAACATCGCTGGCCTTATTGCCGTCCTATAAAATTTTTCCTTGAGCTTCAGTGGCCTACGACGGTCACACAACACGCCGGATGCACTCTTTCCATCCAGCTCGTATTCTATGGTTGAGATCTCCATCTAATTCTCCGTTCTCTTGCAAGATAGATCCTAGGTAACGAAAACGGTCGCTTTTTGTGATCTTCACTAGATTGCTCCGGTCATTAGTGTGGATAAATATATAAATGGATAGAGATAGGAAAGCAAACACAAGATGTACGTGGTTCACCCAGATTGGCTACGTCCACGGAATAGAAGAGTTCTCATTAATTGTGAAGGGTTTACACAAGTACATAGGTTCAAGCTCTCCTTTAGTGAGTACGAGTGAATGATTTAGTACACAAATGACATTAGGAAATATTGTGGGAGAATGATCTCGTAATCACGAAACTTCTAAGTATCGGAGTGTGGTGTCGTCTTGACTTGCCTTATCTGTCTCATAGGTAGATGTGGCATCTTCTCTGGAAGTACTCTTCCTCCATCCAGGGGTGATATCTTTAACTGGTGGAGATGCACAAGGTAATGTATCAATTTCACTTGAAGCTTACTTGTAGTTTCAGGCTTGGTCAAGCGCGATACAAACCATGTAGTAGGAGTCCCCCAAGTCGCCGAGCTAGGGGGTCTGCTGAAAGAGGTGACAGACAAGGTAAGCAATCAGAGCTCCGACTGATTGTTCACCTTCTCCCCATCTTGCAGCAGCATGAAGGATAAAGAGAAGAAAAATGAGAAGAGATGATATGAGATACTTTTGCTTTTGAAGAAGTAACTTTCCACAGGCTTATTCTTGAACTGAGCTGGAGGGTTTTCTGGTTTCCTCCAGAGTATAAGGCCGACTGAAGAATTTGAGGGTCAAAACAAGTCCATCAAATCTAGAGTACGTTCCACCCTGCTGATATGAGATACTTTTGCTTTTGACAGAGTAATGGATGTATCGGCACGTGTGCTGTGTTACGCTTGTCTCCACATGCTTCCTTGTATCCTTCGCACTTGCCCTATCTGTTCCTCAAGCAGATGCGGAATCTTCCCTGGAAACATAAGATGATGAAGATGAGTACTCGAGAGCAATGCCAGGTAAGTAATCAGGTAAGGGGTTCCAGGCAGTCAGTTCCTGGCTGGAAGCTTGATTCCAAGTGCTGACTGATTGCTCTCTTTCTCCTTGTCTTGCAGGTAAAAACAAGGCCAAAAGAAAAAACAGGGAAAAAGCATGATATGGGATACTCTTGCTTTTAACCCTGATGATATGAGATATTCTTGCTCTAGTATAGCTTGTTTGCAGAGGTATTATCGGGGGGAAAGAAAGCTGAATATTTCGAAAGGCTTTGTTGGGAGTGCCCTCTCAGATATGATGAAGGGTTGAGCATTTTTGCAGGTCTGCCTGTCCGTTGGGGATGGAGGTCGACATATATAGGAGTCTCCCTAACAACAAGTAGTAATGCTATTCCTTTACCCTGCTTGGTCATAGCACGGTAGTGGGAGCTGCCAGTTTCACATGTTTTAACTCTGTCAGAGCACTTTGAAAAAGTGGTCTGTGGTGTCTGGCTCTCGAGATTCGGAGAACGATGCCTCTTCGATTTTTGAGAAAGCAATCATGCTGGGGGTCTGACTCTCGAGATTCGGAGAGCAGTGTCTCTTCGATTTTTGAGAAAGTAATCATGTTGGGAGTCTGGCTCTCGAGATTCGGAAGGCGGTGCCTCTTCGATTTTGGAGCAAGCAATCTTGTTGGGAGTGTTGTCTCGAATGTGAGTAAAGGTTGGACATGTTTGCTAGTCTACCTTGCCACGAAGCACAAAGGTTGACACACAGGGACTTTCCAATTATCCAGCAATGGTACTGTTCCTTTACCCTCTCTTCGATTTTGAGAAAGTAGTCATGTTGGGAGTCTGGCTCTCGAGATTCGGAGGACGGTGCCTCTTCGATTTTGGAGCAAGCAATCTTGTTGGGACTGTTTTCTCGAATGTGAGTAAAGGTTGGGCATGTTTGCTAGTCTACCTTGCCACGAAGCACAGAGGTTGACACACAGGGACTTTCCAATTATCCAGCAGTGGTACTGTTCCTTTACCCTTGTGGGTAATAATATGGTAGCTAGACCTTCAAAATTTATGTGTCTAAACTTTGTTAGTAGTGCTGTTTCTTTGCTATTCTTTTACCTTTCTTGGTCAGAGCGATGTAGTGGGAGCTGCAAGCTTCACGTGCTCAACTTTGGCAGAGAACTTTGGCAAAGTGATCTGTGGTACCCATGAGTTATTGTTGCGTGTGGGAAGTGGGTGATTGAACAGTAAGATTCATGTGCTTTCTACTTCACCAGAAGTCTTCGACAGAATGCCCATAATTTTCTGCAAAGCTGAGTGTGCGTGTGACAGGTGCTGACAAGGCTAGAAAAGTAGATGCCTCTTCGATTTCTGAGATCGGCCCTCGTGGTCTCTGAGCAGCCCAGCTTTTGAGAAAGCGAGCGCCTCTTCGATTGATTCGGAGAACGGTGCCTCACCGATTTTTGAGAAAGCAATCATGCTGGGGGTCTGGCTCTCGAGATTCGGGGAGCAGTGTCTCTTCGATTTTTGAGAAAGTAATCATGTTGGGAGAGTGGCTCTCGAGATTCGGAAGGCGGTGCCTCTTCGATTTTGGAGCAAGCAATCTTGTTGGGAGTGTTTTCTCGAATGTGAGTAAAGGTTGGGCATGTTTGCTAGTCTACCTTGCCACGAAGCACAGAGGTTGACACACAGGGACTTTCCAATTATCCAGCAATGGTACTGTTCCTTTACCCTCTCTTCGATTTTTAAGAAAGTAGTTATGTTGGGAGTCTGGCTCTTTAGATTCGGAGGACGGTGCCTCTTCGATTTTGGAGCAAGCAATCTTATTGGGAGTGTTTTCTCGAATGTGAGTAAAGGTTGGGCATGTTTGCTAGTCTACCTTGCCACGAAGCACAGAGGTTGACATACATGGACTTTCCAATTATCCAGCAGTGGTACTGTTCCTTTACCCTTGTGGGTAATAATATGGTAGCTAGACCTTCAAAATTTATGGGTCTAAACTTTGTTAGTGCTGTTTCTTTGCTATTCTTTTACCCTTCTTGGTCAGAGCGATGTAGTGGGAGCTGCAAGCTTCATGTGCTCAACTTTGGCAGAGAACTTTGGCAAAGTTATCTGTGGTACCCATGAGCTATTGTTGCGTGTGGGAAGTGGGTGATTGAACAGTAAGATTCATGTGTTTTCTACTTCCCCAGAAGTCTTTGACAGAATGCCCATAATTTCCGCAAAGCTGAGTGTGCGTGTGACAGGTGCTGACAAGGCTGGAAAAGTAGGTGCCTCTTCGATTTCTGAGATCGGCCCTCGTGGTCTCTAGGGAGCCCAGCTTTTTGAGAAAGCGAGCGCCTCTTCGATTTCTGAGATCGGCCTTCGTGGTCTTTGAGCAGCCCAACTTTTGAGAGAAAGCAAACGGCTCTTCGATTTCTGAGATCAACCCTCGTGATCTCTAAGCAGCCCAACTTTTGAGAGAAAGCAAACGCCTCTTCGATTTCTGAGCAGGCGCCTCTTTGATTTCTGAAGCTCCGTCGAGTGCAGATTTTTATAGAGGCTGGCATTAAGTTCCAAAGCACACTTGAATCTCCACCAGTAGAAGCTTCATTCTTGCACTTCTAAGATCTTGATTTGTCCGACCTCTTCTCTCTTCAACACCTTTGAAAATGTCTGGCCCCTCCGACCGTCGTTTTGACTTGAACCTTGTTGAAGAGGCAGCCCCGCCTTCTCCAGACAACATATGGCGCCCATCCTTCGTCTCCCCAACTGGTCCTCTTACCGTTGGGGATTCCGTGATGAAGAATGATATGACCGCTGCGGTGGTGGCCAGGAACCTTCTCACTCCCAAAGATAACAGACTACTTTCCAAACGGTCTGATGAGTTAGCTGTTAAGGATTCGCTGGCTCTCAGTGTTCAGTGTGCAGGTTCTGTGTCTAATATGGCCCAACGCCTATTTGCTCGAACCCGACAAGTTGAATCATTGGCGGCTGAAGTGATGAGTCTCAAACAGGAGATTAGAGGGCTCAAGCATGAGAATAAACAATTGCACCGGCTCGCACATGACTATGCTACAAACATGAAGAGGAAGCTTGACCAGATGAAGGAAACTGATGGTCAGGTTTTACTTGATCATCAGAGATTTGTGGGTTTGTTCCAAAGGCATTTATTGCCTTCGTCTTCTGGGGCTGTACCGCGTAATGAAGCTCCAAATGATCAACCTCTGATGCCTCCTCCTTCTAGGGTTCTGTCCAGTACTGAGGCTCCAAATGATCCCCCTCCGGTGCCTTCTCTTTCTGGGGCTCTACCGACTGCTGAGACTTCTCCTAAGCAACCTTTGTGAAGGCTCCCTCTTGTGTGTTTATTTTGACTCATGTATATGTACATATTTGTAGCTTATCGGGGATATCAATAAATAAGCTTTCCTTCATTTCAACGTATTGTGTTAAATACACCAAAGCCTTCTTCGCTAAGTTCTTTGAATTTTCTTTTGTTGAAGCTTGTATGTTGAAGCTTTCTGAGTGGAGCATGTAGGTTGGGGTAGTGTTCCCTTAATTTCCCGAGTGAGGAAAACTTCTTGGTTGGAGACTTGGAAAATCCAAGTCACTGACTTAAAATTTGTACACATAGTGACATAGCCTGCTGTCATCTTTTGCTCATATGATTCGTGTAAGCAACTCGTATAAAAGGAATACACAGATGAGAACTTACAGTTCCAGTAAAGTAAGTTAGAAATGATAACATAACCCCATTTTCAAGGGTCGATAGCACACGAGCATTAACCATCATGCCTGGAACGAGTAGATCAATTGAAATTCCCTTGAGATCCTTGGTCTGTATATGATTTCAGAAAGAAAGAACAAACATAAATAAGAAGGGAAAATGTGAAAATGAAACATAAAACACATGAGAGCATGGGGGGCATACCACACATTTTGACACAGTTTCTGGGTCAGAACTCAAATACACAACCTTGCGGATTTTATCAACACTTTTAACAGCACCTTGAAGTAGTTGCCCAGCTTTCAGTTGAATCTCCTTGGTGTCTGAAAAGACAACATAATGAAAAGCTAATAAATTTCTTATATTAAATCAATGTATTAAAAGCGTGAGGCATGAGCGAGGCATCTGAGGGATAGCCCAGCCTAGGCATGAGGTGAAGCCTCATGGGACCTAAATTTTTTAATATATACACTGAGCGTACACATATATTATATTAAAAAAAAAGATTAATCAATAATCACCCTAAGCACACACACATATTATAAATACATATATACACACATATATATACATATATTATATTATATATATAAAATAGAGGATGAAAAGCACAATAAGCACACATATAACAATGCACGCAAATGGCATACACATCCATTATTTGGGTTTGGGAGTTAAAACCCTACCCAAAATTTGGGTTTGGGAGTTTAAAAATAAATAAATAAATAAAAAATCGACTGAGGCGCGCCCTGAGGCGAGCCTTTTAATTAAATAGAAAAATCAGAAATTACACCTGCAGCATATGGCCAGTCAGAATTTATCCCCAAACAAGTGAGAACAAAGAAATGAAATTTATAATAATAATAGGTAAATAGAACAAACCACATAAAACCTCAACTGTGAATTTCAGACATGAAACAAATACAGATTCTTGCAATTATATTCTGTGTGGAGTATTACAAGATAACCATTTAATTATTTATCCAAGATCCTCTAAGAAACCGAAAAATTAGGAACACAGAAACAAGCAAATGTAACCTCATGTATTGTCAATTCAATTAGCCATCATGTGACCCTCAAAAAATACTTCAGAATCTTATGCTAAAGTTTAGGATGTTGCATGTGAAAGTTCACTCCATTTACTCTTCACTGGTACAGAAGACCAAGAGTTATGACATAACATTTTACAAACATCAGAATATGGTATACTACAGCAATAACAGAAGAGCCGTGTCCCACCCACCTATTCCTCAGAAATATTACATTTAACTTCCATGTTTTTCCTAATGACCTCTGTCCATCTTATTTTTGTTTTCTTGTTTATATAATCACCCTAACTATTCTATTCATCTTCACTTCTTTTTCTTTTTCAACAAGAAGAAAATATTTTTATTGATTAGAGTAGAATCCCACACAGAATAATGAAAGCATTATATTAATGATAAAAAGATTTTGAGCCTCTGCACCCATTGCCTATTGATTTTGGGCTGAACCTCCTTTCGGTAGTTATGAACTGTTATGCACTTAATCAGCACCCACAAGCAGCCTATACTTGTTTATGTTTACTCTTGCTACAAAAGTGCTCTTAACTTCTAATCAATTACATGACATTTCAAAAAGTAAATAATCATACAACATAAAAGTAAATATTTATATTTCTACAACTAATTCGATAGTTATGAACTGTCATGTACTTAATCAGCACCCATAAGCAGCCTAGACTTGCTTATTTTTACTCTTACCACAAGGTGTTCTTAACTTCTAAAGTTCTAATCAATTACATGACATTTGCAAAATGTCAATAATCATACCACATAAACGTAAATATTATATTTCTACAAATACAGGTCCTCACATAGATGTTTCTCAACCTTTAGATCAAATACGGACAGCTTAGGCGCACCATCGTAACTGATCTAATAGCAGGAAATATGATCTCACTTCAGGATCTTATTTAAGGACCTTCTGAGAGAATAATGAGTAGGTTTAAATTTATATAGGGCTAGAAAGAGTAAAGAAGAAGGTACTAAAAGTAATTGGTACACATAAACGGGTAAACCTATACATGTGGACTTACCAGATTCACTCTTTTTTGGCAAAAATCCCGTAAATGAAGATAAACCAAAATGGAGAATATAACCATGGTCTTCAATGCTTTTAACATATGCAGTAAGGACCTGAAATTAAAAAATAACAAAGAAAAAATTTAACATGGTACAGAATAAAATAAATAAATAATTAGAAAAGATCAGGTCTGCTTTATCAGCCAAACAGAGAGATTAGCAGCATTCAACTTTAAAAGCAGTGATGCCTTCCAAAGGCACAGCTGAACTGGCCTCATTTCAAATAAACAAATGGAACAGTCACCATAATAGATTGCTAGTCTGGGTTCATGTGGTTGCCCTTGCTGCATATTTCTACAATGCTTCATGTTGAAAACTGATATCTAATATAACCAATAATGTCTTTCTTTCTACTAGAGATGTATCAGCTATCTTCGTTATCTTATTACATCATATCAAACTATGAAATTCATATTATGATTCAGAAGCTTTCAAACTATTTATCAAAAGCAAAAGCTGGATGTAAGAAGAAATGAAAATGAAAAACTAGGTATGAAAATGAAAAACTATGTGATCAGATTATCTTACCATGCCTTCTTGAACAGACTCCAAAGTGAAGCCCTTGTACAACGAAGATAGGCGCAAAGAAAGCCAGATCTTCCTTTTCCCTTTCTCTTTCTTATCCTCATCTAACTTCAATACAATGCAAGATACCAGCTGCCCAGTATGGAATACGCTAGGAAGGAGACTATCTGCTACAGCCTGGTAAATATTACAATGCAAAGATTGCTCAGAAAAAAATAAAAATATTTTCAAATAAAAAGTGGGATATAACATGATAACAACGATGAGATTACAGGAAACAAATACTTATTATTACCTTATTTTCATCATCCAAAATAGGATCAAAAGCTTCAGAAGCTCGAACTAATCCACGCAATCCCCCTGGAAGACTAATTACGAGGTCCTTTTCATTTACTTCAGAGACAACTCCCCAGACCTTCATTCCAGCAGAAATATTCTGGACAGACATAAAGGAATAGTACATCAACAACTTTTAACCAAAAATAATACTGAGAATACCATATGATGCATTGACTCGAAAAAATATACAATGTACTTTATATAATCTTTTTGGAGGGCTCTTAAGTATTCTTCGGGGATAACAAAAAGCTTCACTTCACAGAGCCTAATAACATCATTTATCTTACCTGAGGTATCTAACACATACATATATACACACATTCGAAAATTTAACAAAAATTAACGTAGATTCTTCATTCTTCCAAAAATTACAATGCTTTATGTTTTCAGGCTACCTTCATAGTGATCTTGTTTGCATATTTAGGTAGCTTTCCAGAAATACCGTCACCGAAAAGCGACCCCAAATCGTCCTCCTTCGTTGCGACACTATTCTTCTGCATCCCTTTCTTCTTCCTCTTCTTCAGCTCCCGCTCCTCTGCCTCAAATTCAGCATCGACTTCGGCCCGAATTTCATCCCGCTCTTGTCGATTCAAAGCACTTCCTCCCCCTTCAATAAAAAAAAAAAAAACTTACAAACCATTTAATTCCCAATATAATTTAAATACCAAAACACAAAATTGAACAAAAATAAATAAATTATAGAAGTTCAAACCTCTGGGGAAGTCGGGGACGTCGTCTTCGAGCTGCAAAGCGACGGCTTCAGACCTGACGTCGTCGTTTTGGTCCTTGTTTGGTTTGAACGGTTTTTTGGAGGACTTGTTGAACTTTGGAGCATCTCCGGCCTTCTTCTTGGCCTCAGGTTTCTTGAAAGGCGGTGCCATTTTCACAGAACGACAGCAGTGGTCGTATGCGACGAGAGATGAGCGTGTATATATATATATACGTGTGTGCGTATATATGCGTCTGGGTTTTTCTCTAGGATTGGGGTTCTAGAGGTTTAAGGAGAAAGGGGACAGAGAGCGGGGACTGCAACTCGGCGAGGGTTTAGGGCGAGTGGGGGTTGAGGAGGGGGATCAAGTCAAACGGCGTCGTGGGGGGTTAGGGCTTTACGTTATGAACGCTGTCGTTTTGGGAGTTTTTTGTTTACACTAATGGCACGTTTAGGGTAATCGAAATCCGAAATTGAATTCCGCGATACTCAAATGTTTACCAAGTATTGGGAAATCAAACATTTGTTGGGACCCATGCAAATTTTGGAATCCGACTTGGATTTCCTACAATTTGGTGGTATTTGAATTTCATATTGTCAGGGGTAATCGGAATAGACATTTCCTCCCTATTATGCCCTTATTTATTTTTAAGATTTTAAAATTATCCCTCATATTAACCCATCGAAACACTAAGGACGATATCTTTTTTGAAACCAAGATCAGCTGGTGGTTTCGTCACGACGGTCCTTCCTTTCTAGGGCCAAGAAGACTCAAAAGCATTTCAACATTCCCCTAACCAATATTGTGTAATTCACCAGTGTCAGGATGTGCAAAAAGTACCTTATCAAGGTTAGTCACAATTATGCTTTTTAAATTCCTAAAGTATCATTTTTCAACTTTTTGAAACTAAACTCAAGACCAATTGGAATGTTCACTAATTGGGGACTTGGCCAAGACTTTCAACCATGGAAACCTAGAAATTCCAATTGGATATGTCTCAGAAGAGTCGTTTCTAGCTGATCATATTGTAAAGTGAAATGAATTCATATATTAAGTGGTTAAAAGTATTTATCTTTGTATCGAATCGAGTGTTGTCGGCGTTTCATTCATAATTTAGAGAAGTGTCCTCAACAACAAGCCGGGCACAAGTCCAATCAAACATGGAGACAAAAAGGGTGAGAGCTTTGTATCCAGACCGCACCACGAGGCATTGTCAGCAAGTCGGGTTGTTTGGGAATGCAGCTCCAATCAAGCGGCAAAAGTATTTATCTTTGCTTCTGATTATGAGGTATTATGTTTGAAATTATGAGGTATTATGTTTGAATTTGATTCCGAGGAATTATGGTGGAATATCGCCTCCTTCGATCACTTGTACCTAAAAACGAAAAAAGATCCTTTGACAAAAAAATAAAATAAAATAAAAACCAAAAAAGATCATATTGTGGATTATGATTTCGGAGTTTTAATGAAAAGTCCGCGATACTGTTCACTTTAACTAAAAACCATATTTTTACACTAAAAAGTCAAACCTGATATTATTCATTTTACCCTTTATTTTGTTCTTATCGTTAAAACTCAAAGTTTTCAAACCTTTTCATTAGTTTTCCTTTAGGAAAAATTAGTATTCGGTCCTTAGTTACTAATGTTCTTTGATTGAAACCTTATTAGTTTTCAGATTTTGATCAAGGTCCCTAGTATTAATACAATAATGAATTTACATGTCAGTTACATAATTTTTAAAATAAAAATTAATAATTGATTTAGGATTTTAATACTCACACCTTTATTAAATTCCTAAATAATTTTCAATTCAAAATATTTCCAAAATAAATAAAAAATTAGAATAAGTTTGTACCCCTTAATTTTTTTATAAAAAGGTTTCCAATTTTTTAATCTTATATGTACTCATTCATGTAATTTTTAAATTTTTAATCTTAAAATATACCCATTCTTAAATATATCAATTTGTTGTAGTAAAATTTACCCTTTTTTTATATAAAATCTATTCAATTTTTTTCTAATTCATTTTTAAACTTATATGGGTACATTCTTTTTTTTTTATTTGAGAATGTATCCATGTCAAATTTAATCAAAGAAATTTACTAATATTATTAAGCCTAATATCTATTATTTTTTGTGTGGTTTTGAAGAATGTACCCATATTTTGGTACAATAATTTTTTTGTTAATTTTAATGAATGTACCCATTTTATATACATACATACATATATATACACACACGCACACACAATATATTGGAGAGTATAATTTATATTTTAATAATTTTAATCCACAAAGTATGGGTTTTTTTATTTAAAATCTCATTAATACAAACAACTATAAATTTCAATTTTTAATTTAAAAAATATAGTAACCTATATAGAAATACATTATCACATTAATTTCAGGGACTTCAATCAAAAATTGAAAACCAACAGATTTCAGTCAAAGAATATTGATAGTTATGGACCGTATCCAAAGTGTCCCTTTCCTTTATGATTTTGCATTTGGGTGTTGGCCCATCTTTAACCCGAATCTCGAATAAGGATACGAATATTGACAGCCATCTGCATCTTCTAATATGAATAATTTCCCATTTTCTATACCTCTCATTACGTGACCCCAAAGAAGTTATAACAATATTTACAGCTGCATTTTGAACGAAACATTTTCCTCTATCTTTCATAATTTACACACAAGAGAAACAACTATGCTGGCATGTGCTAACATACCAAAAATGTGTAAACTTTTTTAGGATGTTGTTGTTATCACTCCAAAAATTTCATTGTGCACTTCTCATAAATGTATTTTTTTTTCTTCTAAATATAGAAAGTTTGGAATGCCGAGACTTATGGAGTGATAAGAGCATCTCCAAATGAGATGTCAAAATGTCCAAATCATTATTAACAGTAAAAAAAAAAAAAAGGCAGCAACATTGTTTTCCAACTGAAAAGCCAAATCTGATGTGGCATGACATGGAATGGCAACTTTCACCCTTGCTATCAAAATTGACAGCAGCTTCAAATTTTTGTTAATTAATTATTAAATGCTTTTTATTAATTTTATTATAGTTTGAAAACATTTATCTTCCTCCCACACCCTGTCCAACTTTGAAAATATCAATCTGAACACTACAAAACCAGCTTCTTGGTTCAGAGAAAACCCAACTCTGCCACAAATCATTGAAGCTTGGCGTTCTCTCCAGCCAGTCATTCTTCATTTTCTTCTTGATAGGCCTATGGAGCTTTTTCGCAAATGGTTTTAGGATTTGGTGTGTATTTGAGTATTGAATATTTGACCATTGAATCTTGCAATGCATTTGAATCAAAGGGAAGAGGCTAAATGAAATTGTATCGATTCAATTTGTTTTGAATTCAATTTAAAAGAAAAGAAGAAAAACAAACGGCTTGAAGTTATATAGGTATGAAACTTATATTGAGATGATTTAAATTACTTTGCAGCTCAGAAGCCTCAGTTTTTTATGTCTTGGGTATCAATTCAGATGCCCCATTCTGGTATACATGCTATCTGGGAAATTATGAAAATAAAATAACAAAAAGAAAATAATGTAATCAAATGTGTAATTATAAAATAGAAATAATATAATAATATTTTAATTAGACATATCGAATGAAGAGTAAAACTTAGAAAGATGTCAAAGTGCCACATAGGCCGTCAAATTTAAATTTTATGTTTAAAATTTGAAATCTCCTTTGGAGATGGTTTAAACATTACAATCATGATATGCTAGAAGTTTATAGAAGTTGTAAAAGTGCATCACTACCAAAAAGAAAATGAAAACAAAAAAAACAAGGAACAAAAAGGGGAGCAATGTTTCCAAGTAGCAGGTATTCTTCACATGTCATAATACAAGTGGAGAAAATAATATATTTTTTTTGTGTCCCTCTATTTATTTTAGGATATTGTTATTCACACACTAATTTTCTCCTCCTACGCACCTTGTTAATTTTTAGTCTTAATCGTCTTCAATTCATTCGATCTAACAGCCGAAAATTGAAAAATAGTGTAAAAAATAAAGATAAATGTGTAACACTATCTCTTATTTTCCAATAGGTAAAGTACATGCTTGAATATTCGATACTGATATTTAGAAAAACTTTTTCCGAAAGTAGTAAAGCCTAATATTAGAATGAGGCTCCTCTTTGTGAGGATTTTAGGGATCCTCCAATTATATATTTTCATCGTACATCGTGCGGTCAGCTTTCGTCAGGTATTGTTTATATTTAATTTTAAATAAAAAGATTTACAATGATTTCTGACCACACGATGTACAATGAACGAATATGATTTGAAGTGTCACAGCCCGTCCAAAAATTTCATTTATCGTTGATGTGAATTGACAGAATTGCCCTTAAAGGTTGTTAAGGTATGTGTGACTTATTTATTTGAATAAAACATACCTTCACAGCCCGTCCAAAAATTTCATTTATCGTTGATGTGAATTGACAGAATTGCCCTTAAAGGTTGCTAAGGTATGTGTGACTTATTTATTTGAATAAAACATACCTTCCTAAGTTTTTGGAAAGTTAAGTTGGATTAAAAATTATGTGCATTTTCTGTGGTTAGGGTCTTAGGAGGATCACACATCACCTAAAGTACTTCTCTCTCTTCCGTGGACTTCCTATCTCTCTCCCCTCTTGGTTTCTTCTTCCCATGCACTGTGCACGTACGGACAAAGGTGGAACTTGCTCATTTCTTCTCAGATCAAGACTGAAAAGGTAAGTTTTAGAATCCTTGCAAGCTTGTGAGTTTGTTGGTACCATTTTTGAAACTTAGAACCTTCGAAATCATTGTGAAACCTTAACCCCGAAAATGTGCACTGTTCATGCACACGTTATATTGAACGTTTCAAGAGGTTACAAGCTTGTAGGAAGCTTTGAGACACTCCTATGAAGCTCGGAGAAGAAGAATCGAAGGATTTAGACGTAAGGATCCCTAGTTTTTCTAATCCCCGAATTGGTCATTATTCACGAACTTTTAAACCCTTAAGTTTTTGTGAATTTTAGGACCATAGCAAGCTCTAGGAGGTTCTCACAAAGCTCAGAGTGCTTCGTTGGACATGTTTTGACGTCGGGATCACATGGTTCGAAGGTGGCCGGTTTTGGTAGAAATTTCCCGACGAGTTTTCGAAATATTTGGAAGTTTTAAAAGGTATAGCCTTCTTCCTCTCGTGATTTGTGACATTTTGGTGAAAATTTCGTGGAAAATGGTGCAAAATTGAGCGAGAAAATGGCATTTACAGGTTTGCCCAGTTTCCGACGCTGGCGAGATTTTCCGACGTCTGGAGGTAGGGGATGACGCGCGTAGGGGCGCATAGCACTGTGCCTCTCCCGGCGTGTGGGGGCGTGTGCGGCG